TAAATTATTGGGGGCTTGGGGAGTAGAACTCCCAGAACCCCATCAAGCAGGTATCAAGCAGGCTATAAGGAAAAGGTTCAGTGGTGTAAATATCAAGCTAGAGTTCCCAATGAGCAGGAAAACACATTTAGTAGCACACAATCGACACTTGGTACCCCCCATTTCGCTCTTTGTAAATATGAAACATATTTTTTAAAAGGTTTTATAATTATTATCCCTCGGGGAGAATAACAGTTTAAGAAAAACAAAAACATCGTTCATGACACCAATTATAATTTAAGGTGGAACAAAGAGACAAGGTTACATAGAGGTGCGGCCACCGCCCGGAGCAGTGTTGTGTCAGCTACCGTCACTGTTCGTTGCTCTCCCTCCTCCTATAGCTACGCTAATGACCTAGTTGGCTGCCGCAGGGAAAGTGTTGTCGGATGTTTAGTCAAGTTGCTGCAGCACTTTTCTCTCTTGTGGACGAGTTTGGCGTAAATCCGTACACATGACAGCACACACGATCTTGAGGCAGTGTACCAACCCAACCACAATACCTCAGGCTCCAGCTACCTGTGGTCCTGGACGACCTGGTCCTGGACGACCTGGTACTGGACCACCTGGTCCTGGACCACTTGGTCACTGCAGGCCGTCATGCCTTCAATGGCCGGACACCCGCGCTCTATAATTCTGTTTTTTTTTTTTTGAGATATATACAAGAGTTGTTACATTCTTGTACAGCCACTAGTTCGCGTAGCGTTTCGGGCAGGTCCCTGGAATACGATCCCCCGCCGCGAAGAATCGTTTTTTCATCCAAGTACACATTTTACTGTTGCGTTAAACAGAGGCTACAGTTAAGGAATTGCGCCCAGTAAATCCTCCCCGGCCAGGATACGAACCCATGACATAGCGCTCGCGGAACGCCAGGCGAGTGTCTTACCACTACACCACGGAGACTACGGAGGTGTTATTTCACAAACACCGGGAAATGCTAAAACTGTTAATTAAAATGTTAAAATCCGAATGAAAAATATAGATGCTTAGGCGATATTCCAACTGTACATTTGCATGCTCTTGCTGATTGACAAATCGGATTCAGTAGGGAGAAAGATATTTAGAATTGGCAATAAGAGGATCGGTAGTGTTAAATTCCCTGGTGTTACCGCCTCTGTGATGATACACATGTGGCAACGCAGCCACGTCAGTTATTGCTCTCCATATATCATCATTCCTTTGTGATAGTTGATACGTCACTGTTGTCCCAAGTTATACAATGATATACCGCCGTATAGATTCTTTGTTCTGTTCAACTTGGGCGCCTTATTGCTCAGAACTGTGTGAAAGTTGCTAATGTATGCCATTCTCTGACATTGTTTTATTCAATTGTTTTATGTTCGCAGTCCTAGTTATCTGTATCAGTCGTTATCGTGTTTATTGCATTGTTCTCTCTCTGTTCTCGCTAAATTGTTCTGTAGCGACAATGATGTATTCGATGATTTTTTTCCAAACATGTTTCATAGTGCAACTTGTCTCATTTATTAGGCTCCGTGTGTTACTTTCCTGTCTGGAAATATTTATTTGGTTTCATTATTTATTGTTAGTTTTTCTTTTTAACTTCATCGGACCTTTCCTTTGTTTCTTGGCGTCACTCTGGTTCTTATACGAGGAGAATACTTGATTGTTGCCGCCGGAGGCTGCTGGTTTATTGTGCACCCCATACTCATCCTGTGGGCGGTAGCGCATAAAAGGATTACAGAGGGCACAAAGGGTCTTATTCAGACCTCGGTGGATATTTATACATTAACAGTTTCATCTAACCTGAACACCTTATAATTACAACGTCAGGTAGTTAAAAAAAAATTCCTTCACACACACACACACACACACACACACACACACACACACACACACACACACACACACACACACACACACACACACACACACACACACACACACACACACACACACACATATATATATATATATATATATATATATATATATGCATTTACTTCAGTTATTGATTGTATTACTATCATTGATAGACTTTGTCCTTTGCAATACATAAAATATTTAAGTATGTGGGGTATTGCAGGATCATAGAAGAGCTGTTGGTTAATATTATTATTCTTCACACTACACAATCTATTCATAATCTAATATATGCCATTTATCTACTATAAGCGAAATATGAATACAGTGCAAGGATGTCAAATATAATTTATCATTTGCAATAAGTTGGTCTGCCATTACATGCAGCGTGAATTCGGATTTATCTCTAAATGCGATTTTTTTCGCAGTATAAAATATAATGTTGTAGTGTGTGTATCTGTCTTTGTCCACACACTTTATACTTTACTTTATCAAGCTCCCTGTACAAGCCAAACTGCTGCCAGAGATACCTGTAGCCAAGTCGTATTCGAGCTGTGAGAACACCTGATACTTGCCCCATACACATGCTGTGTTTGACACATCTCATTGTGATACACACACTGGATCTGTTAGTTCCGGTTTGAAATATTCTACTGTACTTTCTTCTAATTAATGGAAGAGCTCCGGTCTAATATTTAATGGATCTATTGAGAGCTCAGGATTACGTTCAACAATGTCTTCAAACAGAGCAAGCTTAGCAAGGGCGTCAACCTGAATGCTGTTGTCTCATTTCCTCACTCCCAGTATTGTTGCTCTGCTCCCTGCGGCTGTTTAGTTAATGTATTTATAATAGTAACTCATTATGTCGAGGGACATGCAGCCAGTGTATATGTACAAGTTAGGCTCATATCGAGACTTCCCAAAAGTCGAATTACTGAACCCGTCCAGGATGCAACCCCACAACAAGCTGACTAACTCCTGGGTACCAACTTACTTCTAGGTGAAGAGACCATTAGGTGATAAAAAATGCGCCCAACCATTTCGGTCCCGCCCGGAATTCGAACCCGGAATTCGCGATTGTGAATCGAAAACGAACCTGACTTTACGACCTGGACCCTTGGGGGTGGAGAGAGGGAGAGGGAGAGAGAGAGAGAGAGAGAGAGAGAGAGAGAGAGAGAGAGAGAGAGAGAGAGAGAGAGAGAGAGAGAGAGAGAGACGGTCATTTAATTAGGCAGAATCAAAAAGAAATAAAAAGTTGAAATATACATTTATTAAATTTCTTTCCCGTAAGGGGTTGATATAAGGTTGTATATTGGACCGGCGAGGCTGCAGCAAGACTGGAAGATAGGAGAAAGGGAAGTCATGCAAAGTTTTCTTCCGGTTATTGTAAAATCTTGACAATGCCGATGAAATTACAAGTGTTGAGTTGAGTGGGGCTGGCCGTGTCAGGGTGGCTGCTGGCATAGTGACTGTCACGCCTGTCAGTCCTACCAGTCTTGCTGTCGCTCGATTTTGATTGTTGCCGCCAGACGCTGCCATCCGTTCACCTGTTCTTACTGCATCAGCATCTCTGATGCTGTTTCACCTTCCTCAAAACCACGACCTCTTCGACATTACACCCACCACACTCCCCACATTTCACACAGCGCCCCTCCCAAGTGTGTAACCTGACTGGGAGGCAGATGATAGCAAGAGTGGAGACCAAACGTTTAGAGATGAGATGTTGCGTCAGCCGTTCTGTCTAGCTTTCCGGTCTTAGTGTCACCCTGCCCGGTGCGCCCTCCACCCTCACCTGTTCTTTGTTTATCATAACATATTTTCTGCGGGAGGTGTGTGTGCTTGGTGACTCAGGCCCGCCCACTTCCCCTGCCCTCCACGCCCTCTCCACGCCCTCTCCACGCCCCTCCACACCTGCCCTTATACCTTAAGAAATACATAAAAATTATCGAATACAGCTTTTATGTGAACTTCAGAGAAGTTGATTTTTTTTTACATAGACATTGAGGACATTTGTCGTTAACTTGACTTATTAATTTTATTTCTGTTATTTACTGAATTTACCTGAGGGTCACTAAGACTCTAGTGGCCTCGACGAGGACAGAAAGCCGGCGGCTTAATTGTCAAAGGCGCCCCCCCCAATTTGTCCTGATGATTTTTTCAAGCTTTTTAATATTCAATAGATAATAAATCTATCCCCTCTCTCTCTCTCTCTCTCTCTCTCTCTCTCTCTCTCTCTCTCTCTCTCTCTAATGGTTCACCACGTGGGTCTTTATTATTAACGTAATGGAAGGGACAATGAGTTGGTGAGATTACATAAGATTGGTATTTGTACATTCTTGTAAAACCACTAACACGCATAGCGTTCCGGGCAGGTACTTAATTATGAATGAAGTACTTGTACATCTCTTGAATACCATTGATAGTGTTATCTTTCTTCCGTTATTTTTTTCTCATACAATTATATAATGCCACAATGTGAATAGTTCTGCTGAGAGAGTTTACATGTAGTCAAGTTAACATCAGCGGGTGAGTTCAAGTTCAAGAATGTTTATTGAGACAAAAAAGAAATACATCTCAAAGGGATAGAGTAGCTTAGGCTATTTCTACCCCTGGATGAGATCAAACTGCCAGACGTACTTGTAGCCGAGCCTAAGCCTAGCAGTGGTAACATCTAGAAGTCGTCTAACCTTATTGGATGATCCATATTGTAATAGAGAACATAACTGGCTGATCTAGAAAGAAGGTGTGTAGAAAATTTATTGGACTTTATATGGAAGATGTTTGAACGACTCCCGTAATGTTAATTACAGTCCTCTTAGTTCTCAGCGTTCATCTGTACACCATCTCCAGGGTGACGTCAGCTCGCTATTATCCCTGCTGTTGTCTGGGACAAAAAAATATTTTATGCATCGCTTTGCCACATTTCTCTTGCACACTTGCTCGTTTCTGTAAGATGTATGTTCATTAGTAGTTCACATGGCGAGGAAGTGTTAACCGCTCACGTATATATTCAGGGTCACAGGTAATGGGGATCACGATATTTGTAGTTGTGACCCAGCACATTTCTCCGGCTTGCACGACTCCGGGTGTTGACCTCCAGTAATGACCTGATCACGCCCTCTCTCTCTCCCGCAGGTGAGCTTGCTCCTGGCTGGGGTCACATGCGCCCAGGGCTCGCCTTGGCCGACCCGCACCACCAAACACCAACATGAGCACCACCAACTAGGTCAAGTAAGCGACAGTTTGCACACAGAGAGCGACAGTTTACACACAGAGAGCGACAGTTTACACACAGAGAGCGACAGAGATGACGTAGTGAGCGAGCGCACTACGCTAGAGCTCTACAGAGTGCCACCCACAACAGGCGGCGAAGTTGACACCACGATATCTGAATCCAGGAACCAGCCAGTGGTGGAGCGACAGGTGGCGTTTCCTGGTGACGACCAGAGGTACCAGTTATCTCACTCTGAGACACGACCAGTGGTGCGACGAGGGCTCGGGGCGAGGCGACGACGACTCTTGAACCCCGAACGACGTCGCCAGTTGAGGCTGAGACGACAAAAACTGGGTCTTCCCATCATAAAGAGAGCCAGGAACAGGCACCAGCTCCCAGAGAAACAGGTGTGTGTATGTGTGTACTCAACTAGTTGTGCTTGCGGGGATTGAGCTACGGCTCTTTGGTCCCGCCTCTCAACTGTCAGTCACTTAGTGTACAGATTCCTGAGCCTACTGGGCTCTATCATATCTATATTTGAAACTGTGTATGGAGTCAACTTCCACCACATCACTGCATTCCATCTGTTAACTACTCTGACACTGAAAAAGTTCTTACTAACGTCCCTGTGGCTCATTTGGGTACTCAGTTTCCACCTGTGTCCCCTTGTTCGCGTATCTCCTCCCCCATGTTAAACAGTTTATCCATATCTACCCTGTCAAGTCCTCTGAGAATTTTGTAGGTAGTGATCATTGTAGGTAGTCTAAGTCATCTTGTAGCCTCATACTATCTTCTGTTTTAATCCTCCTCATAATTTTTGCATCATCAGCAAACAATGAGATGAACGATTCTATACCCCTCTGGCAGATCGTTGACATATATCAGAAGCAGTATAGGTCCAAGGACTGAACCCTGCGGGACTCCACTGGTGACGCCTCGCCACTCTGAGGCCTCACCCTCACAGTGACTCGCTGTCTTCTGTTACTTAGGTACTCCCTTGTGCAACGAAGTACCTTCCCTCTCACTCCTGCCTGCATCTCCAGCTTTTGCATTAGTCTCTTATGTGTGGTACTGTGTCAAAGGCTTTCTGGCAATCCAAAAATATGTGTTGGTGTCTGTGTGAATCTACAAAGGACACTATAAACTGCCCGAAACGCTATGCGTACTAGTGGCTTTGTAAGAATATAAAGCTTCAAGTCTCTGTACTCTCATAAACCCAATGTACCTTCTTGTATATAAATAAATAAATATATATTGAACAAAAGTTAAGAACGTAGTCGACCTCAGACACAACCCACTAAAGACAGAATAATGGATGTAATGGCTAGTGACGTCACAGGAGGTACAGAACAGGTGGATTCCTTGGGACAGGAATCCCAAGGACAGGTGAAGTGTGGTTGGACGTCGTGCCAGTCACTGTACGAGCTCACCCTTGAGGTCAGCTCGTAACAAGCAGTGAACATCATTACTTACGATGTTATTTAAACTAGCTTGTTTGAACCATAATTCAATGAATGGTTACAAGTTGTTGAATTACGGGCATTATTTTATTAACTTAATGTTCATTTGCATATTTTATCAAATATTTTTGTTGATTTTTCATCACACGATAAATATTTGTATTATGTAATGAATTCCTATACAAAAACGTTATTTGAGCAGTCACGTGATATTTCTTGCATCGTAAAGCCCCTCATATTGTTCCTTTCCAGACTCAGGACACTGACTATTCCTCGGCCGGCATAGACCCAACAGAACCCACCACCAGCATCTCCACCAGTACCTCCTCCTCAATTTCCTTCTCCAGTGTTTCATCCTCCAGCAGCACCACCACCTCCAGGTCCGCGTTTCCCTCCTTCAGAGCCGCAGCCAAGCTTCGACAGCGAGTTAAAAAGATTAGAGGCGGTTGGGGAATGAAGACCAGTGCTGAGGTCGACGGGTCGGAAACCACCGAGGACGAATCACATGAACTGGAATCGATCTTGCCAGTTAGGAGAAGACTTGCAGAGCGAAGAAGAGGTCTTCCCAAGGTCTTAAAACGACCTCTACCTATGAGACTCTCACCCACGCCTGTTCCTTCGTCCACGACGACTTCGACGCCCACGGAGGCCCCCAAAGAAGAAAAGAGACTGCGCCATCTTCCGGAGCGTGGAAGCAAGAAATTGAGATTGAAGGTGAAGACCACGACTGTTCGCAGTCCTTCGTATGAACCGTTCGTCTCCGAAACTGAACGACCATCTAACGAACATAATTCGGCAGTCTATGAACATGAGCCACAATCCTCTGATGATAATTCTCCTGTGTATAATCCTGAAGCTCCATTCCTCAATAATAACTCGCCTGTTTATAATTCCGAACGACCGTACCATAAAGACGACTTACTTATTTACGAACCTAGTTATACGCCGATGCCCAAGAAAGTAGTACTCGAACCATTGGCTACGACGTCTCGTACACAGCACGAACCAGCATACACTCGTCGAAACATATACGACCAAGTCCCAGTGCTAACTTCTAATGCTAAATATGCTTCAGTATCACTCAACAGTCCAGACGTGATCTATTCCCCAGATCCGGTCTTTTCTCCAGAGGCAGTGAAGACTCCAGACTCTGCACCGGGTTCAGACGAGGCCTCAGAAGAAGGGTACAACGACAGCGAGGAGTACACAGACAGCGTCGAGGACAAGCCTGGGGTAAGTTGAACCAAGCTGTACTCCGCTCCTTCCCAGCGCCTCCAGTTACTTTTGTAAACGAAATATTATCATTGAACATTTTTTCATAATACAAATTTTAATATTGTTTTCAAATTTTGTACTATTTAAATTTAAACGCTTAAAATCGGTCAATTATTAAAACAAACGGCCGCCTTATTGACAAAATTTTTTGCCTTCTATAGGCGGCTAGTTTGTTGTGCACCCCATACTTTTCCTGTGAGCAGTACAGTAAAAAGGATTACAGAGGGTACAAAACGTCTTAATTAGACCTCAGGGGGTATTTATAAATCGCAATTACAATAAATCTTTACATATTATAATTACAAAGCGAACTAGTTATAAACCAAAAATATCATTGGTTCATTAGCATCATTGGTTCTCTTTTGGAAACGGAAGCCAAACCGGCAGGGACTTAATATTTTGAGTTTTACAAAATAGGAATAAAGCTGTTTGAAAATAATTTTTCAAATATTTTTAAAAGTAGCTAGATTTGATATGGGTCTTAAATTATTTATGTTAGCTGTCTCGCCTTCTTTATGAACTGGCATCACACTTGTTTTTTAAAGGATATCAGGAAAAGTATGACACTAGAGATTTGTTGAAGAGCAGAGCTAAGGGTTGTGTAAGAGCAAGGGTAGCACTCTTATATATCATAGATGGTATTTCATTAATGTTCCCAGCTTTGGGTTTAAACGATTGTGGAAGTGGATCCACAACAGCTTAACTCTGACTCCTTGTTAAGTATACATACATATAGAAACAAACATGTTACAGTGTGTTTATAAGCTACTTAAAGCTAGTAATGAGGAGAGGAAGTCGGAGATAACTAAGCTGTCTACTGCAGTGTCATCAATAATTCTGAGTGCTACAAGTGTAACGAACAGTACAACTTGCAAGGTGGAAGCCCGGTTATTGACGCTTTTTCTGCTTCTCAATAGTTGTGCCGTTGGGCTGACGAACAATAACAGCGCTCCCCAGCCTCTCTGCAGGTGAACTGAGGGATCCGTCAATATATATGGCCAGTGTGATGTTGCTTTCAATTTGTACATTGTGTGTGTTCAAGGGTACTTAAGTTAGCAGCAAGCTGAGCATGGTTGTGACACGTGTTGACTGCACACGCTGTTACTTACAACCATAAAATAAACCACCATGAGTTTCTTGGTGGTGTTTGTAGGCTTCATGTTGTTAATAGGAATTACTTGCCACAGGAAGAGCCGCACTTCTTCATCTTTACACATCTGGTCCAGTCCAAACATTTTAACGTGAGTGGCGGCTCTTTGGATCCATCCAGATTCACTATAATTCCACTGAATATGTGTTTTTAAAAGTTCAATTGATACAATGTTTTTTCGTTGCCGCGAAAAACCTCTAGTCGCATCATAAGATTGTTTTCAAATATTCTATCTTGAAAGCTCGGTATATCTAATTATATCCGCATATTAAGAACTTTGGTGGTTATTGGACAGCCAAGGATAATTCTGAGGGGGCTTCATTTTTCATGTTTTCCAGTTTATCAATACTTTTACTATGATACTGGTGCATGCTAGATAGATACTGGTGTATGATAGATAGTCGGAGATCTTATATATGTTTAGTATCCCATTTTAGCTAATCTATTGTAACGTTTACATCGTACTGAGGGCTGTATTCTACAACATTTCTCGGAGCCTGAACAACATATTCTCAAAACCGAACATATTATCGCGAATAATAAGCGCTGAATTTAAACTTGTAAAGATTTGACTACGTTCGAGGCTGAGAAAACGAAGGATTAGCGATGCAGTGTATTAGTGACAAATATCGGGCTCCAGGTTTAGGTAAAGATAATAGTTCCCAGATATCAGCTGAACAAGGCTGAAATTGCCAAATATTCATAACAAGAACCGTTAGTAATACAACAAATCTGTTGCTATTCAGCTTTATCATGATCTTGTTATGCCCCGTTTAGATTGGGCAGTTCAGTTTTGGGTACCAGAATTGAGAATGGTCATAAAATCTCTCGAAAGTTACATATAGGGTTAATCCCGGGTACTACGACCCTCTCATATGAAGAAAGATAAAAAAAAAACTTAATTTACACGCTAGAAAAAAAATTAGGCCGGGGAATATGGCTGAAGGGATATACGATATGACAAATGTATGAAGGGCATAACAAAAGCCAAATTAATTATAGGGTGCTAAATATTTCAACACAAAGTAAATGACTAAACATTAGATGCAAAAATAAAATTTGGTTTAGAAAATAGCTAAGTAAATACTGATTTGAGAGAAAAAAAAGATTGTTGACATGAAACATTAAGATATGTCCACACGTAGGCTAGGCTACGTGTGTGTGTGTGTGTGTGTGTGTGTGTGTGTGTGTGTGTGTGTGTGTGTGTGTGTGTGTGTGTGTGTGTGTGTGTGTGTGTGTGTCTGCGTGTGTGTGTGTGTGTGTGTGTGTGTGTCTGCGTGCGTGTGTGTGTGTGTGTGTGTCTGCGTGCGTGTGTGTGTGTGGGGGGGGGGGTTTATAGGAACTGCCTCGCATGGCCCAATAGACTTTCAACGGTTTTTTTTCTATTCTTAGGTCCTCATTACCTAGGTAAAAATATATATATATATACCAGCAATTTATATTAATATTAAATTTTGAGAAAATACAGTATTTTATAACAAAGAATGAGAAATAGTCTGTTGAAATTTATTTAAGCCTTTGGGGCATGACATGAGGCTAAAAATATACTTTTCCCCCTCGCCAGTCTTGCACAAATAATTTAGACTTTTAACTGTACTCCAAAAATGTTGTTGTTAAAATATTTGAAAGGTACTTGATATGAGATATATATAGATACGCTTCCTGTGATTTTGTCAGTATGTTCAGGCTTTATGACATAAATAGCGTTCGAAAATGGCGCTAATACTTAACAAACCTGAGGTATACTTCACACCACACTACACCCTCGCCACACCACAATACACCCTCGCCACACCACACTACACCCTCGCCACACCACAATACACCCTCGCCACACCACAATACACCCTCACCACACCACACTACACCCTCGCCACACCACACTACACCTTCACCACACCACACTACACCCTCGCCACACCACAATACACCCTCACCACACCACAATACACCCTCGCCACACCATAATACACCCTCGCCACACCACAATACACCCTCGCCACACCACAATACACCCTCGCCACACCACAATACACCCTCGCCACACCACACTACATCCTCACCACACCACAATACACCCTCGCCACACCATAATACACCCTCGCCACACCACAATACACCCTCGCCACACCACAATACACCCTCGCCACACCACAATACACCTTCGCTCCACCACAATACACCCTCACCACACCACAATACACCCTCGCCACACCACAATACACCCTCGCCACACCACAATACACCTTCGCCCCACCACAATACACCCTCGCCACACCACACTACACCCTCACCACACCACAATACACCCTCACCACACTACACCCTCGCCACACCACACTACACCCTCTCCACACCACACTACACCCTCTCCACACCACAATACACCCTCGCCACACCACACTACACCCTCTCCACACCACACTACACCCTCTCCACACCACAATACACCCTCGCCACACCACACTACATCCTCACCACACCACACTACACCCTCTCCACACCACAATACACCCTCGTCATACCACAATACACCCTTGCCATACCACAATACATCCTCGTCATACCACAATACACCCTTGCTATACCACAATACACCCTCGCCACAGTCCATACACATACTGTAAACAGGAACAAAATACACAGTCAAACAGTAACTATACTCACTCAAGAATTAAAAGTCTGCCAGTCTGCTTGTCCAACTTCGACTTTGCTGAGACTTAGCTCTGGGGAACCGGCTCCCTGTCTCCCGGACAGACAAACTGTCTCAGGGGGGCTTAATGCTGGTATGCACAGGTGGGTAAGTGTCAACAATTAGAGGTCAGAGACAAAGCTAGTTACCTGGTTTAACTGAACAACCAGTTTTTAAATATTGCCTCCATGTCCACTACTGACCCGACCAGTTAAGTGAGAACCAATTGCAGGTTAACTGAGGTTAACTGTCAATTGGCTCTAATAATTTAACTTGAAATATAACTTAAAGCCTTTATAACCTAATACATAACTTAAAATCTCATAGAAATCACATTAACGTGCTGTATCAGTGTGAAAATTAGTAGAAATCATGAAGAATATTTAATTAGCATTTAGGTAATGTATTTTTTATGTTTAAGGGAGTAAATGTGTAATACAGTAATAGCAAGTTAGCAAGCTAACATACATGAACTGTTCAAGAAATTTAGCAAATTATTAAATAAAATTTAAATTAAAATTAAATAAAATTACAATGAAACAAAATTAAATTAAATTAAACATTACAGATATAGTGTTCAGTATATGCAATAACATTACATTGAATGCGAATTGACTTAGTTAAAATGAGTGAAATTTGTCACGTGATGTTAAGTTGGTATTTCTTAGTTTCTCATTTAAAGAGGTCAGTTCCCATCCTCACCAGGGAGGTCAGTTTACATTTTAGGACACTTTATTTATATTGTATTTCTGCTTTAGTGAAGTCTAACTCTCGGAATATCAAGTGGATATTTGTTTCTCGTGTGGTGCCCATGGGTTTTGTACGCGAAATTGACATACAGTCCCGTTTTCTGTTTAAGGTTCTCAGGTAGGTTAGTTTTCTATTGTCCAGTTTGCTGACTTATGTTGAGTAATTCTGGGTTGTAGATCGCCAGGTACAGATACCATAGGTGAGATACGGATAGAAAGGTGAATAATAAAATATTTTAAGGTACAGTGCGAGATACGTAGGATATATACGAGATACGTATACGTAGGATACGTTGATAAATACCGAGAGGTATTTCAGAAAGAATGCCTGCTATTTCAGAAACTTTTTTTGTTATTTTGAATATGGCCGTTGACATATACAGTTTGTTATCAATGT